AGAGTCAGGAATACGCTGGACGACCAATAAGAAGACTTTAGAAGATCTTGATTTCACCGCGGATGAGTTATGTTTAATGTCACTCAGACAACTTCGATGACTTGCATGCGAAAACCAGAAAACTGGAAGAAGAGGCAGGGAAGACAGGACTCCAGATGAACACAGAGAAGACAAAGGTGATGGAGATAATCAGCTACCACCAATTGCAACAACAAACATCACCAATCATCACCAACGGGAGAGATTTAACAGAGGTTGTTTCCTTCACCTATCTAGGAAGAAGCATCACCGTTTCAACCACAAGCAGTCGGATAGCACGAATGAAGATGTCAAATCCAGACAGTTATTATCGGAAAGCCAAACTGAAAGCAGTTTAGAAATCTTCTCTACTCCACCTCAGCCAAAATAAACAGCAAGATTTGGATTCTGTTCAACACAAGTATGCAGTCAGTCCTTCTATACGGGTCAGAAACCTACACTGCGCGTACATAACGAAGAGAATTTTCGACTAGTTACAGACCTTACCAACAGCTACTCACTGTGCTGGATAGCTCCACACTGAAGATTAAATAGCCAACGGTTGCTCAGAAAGAATTAACAACAAGAAACTCTGGCTGGTAACAAACCAACAAGCAAGAGCCGACTGCTCAACAAGTGGATATGCAGGAGAAATGGAGATGGATGGGGTATACGTCGAAGAGGCCATTGAATGACTTCGCATACAATGCAGGCCATTGCTCGGATGGAATTCCAATGGGAAGCAACGAGTGGGTCGTCAGTGTGAGGGTGACCAAAACGAGATTTTATGAAGAGGAGGAGGAGGAAGAGATGAGAAATTATGGACAATCGTAGTCCCAGGTGAAAAGGACAGCAGAAAATAGAAGAAAGCGGAGATGTGTTGTTGAAGCCGTATGTTCCACTGAAGACCAAACGGAATAATACTACTAATAATAAGTTCACTCAGTCATCCAACTATCGAGATCGTATCAGTCGGCGGCACATTTATAATAGTTTTGAGATTGTTAAAGATGAAAGCAACTGACAAGAGTGAACGAAGTTTGTATTATCCTTCAAATGTGTTCATTCTGTCTTTTTTCATTCAAGATTGATCGATTTTATCTAACTGATGAGTATAAAACACTGATTAAATCAACATCATCAATTCCACCTTCAAGGTCATTCACCGCATATCGACAAATCACCATTTCACCTCAAGAGTTCTACTACTAAATATTGCTGAGGCTGGCTGTTGGGATCCATATTGAGTAGCCTAATTTATGCGTCCAAAAGAAGCTAAATCAGACACTATCGTTACCTTCGCCATCTAGGTTTGAATGATCCTCAGTTATTGTGGAAATTTCCTTAATTTTGGTTAATATTCTATTTGCTACCATATTTTTATCGCCATTATAATTTAAGCATCTTTAATGAACTGTAATTCCATTGCGATCTCACTTTACAAATCGATATTATTTAAAAAAACACTAATACTCTTATTGATTACTATTCTAGAATATTCTATATATATATATATATATATATATATATATATATATATATATATATATATATATATATATATATATATTATTAAACACTATTCCGAACAATAATGATCGTACACAATGGTAACTTTTGCCATCACGTAATCCGACGAAAGAGAGGTGAAAATATCCAGTTTCCAGGGTAAAGAAAGACTTATAACTGTTTCTTTTTGAACGCACAAATCGGGTTTCAGGCTCTTGATGGAGATGGCTTCAGCGAAATTGAGGAGTATTGAACTCTTTTGCCTATTGATAATTTTGAACAATCTTGCGACGTCCACCTCATGACCCGTGTTGAGGAGATGCCTGGCGATGGCACTGTTGAAAGCATTTGTTACTTTTAAACGTAGGCTTTTTGGTACATGTTCAGAAAATCGTAAATATGCCCAATGTCACTGCTCCCACAGATACATGTAAATTTGTATATACAGTTGGAGTTAACATGAGAAGGACATCTATCGATTTTTGATTGCACCAAATAGCAAGTTGTTCGATAGACGGGGACGAGTTTAGCTGCAGAATTGGGCTCTTCTGTCGCCCATTGCTGCAATCTTTTTACCTTCAAAATCAAGTTGAATGTGATGGGCTTTTTCTTCACTGTGATTTGCTCGACATTTGAAACTTCAGATTTTCCGTACTTGTTAATGAACCTTTGAGGGTACCCATTGCTCTTCAACATCATTTCAAGAAACACAAATTCTTCCTGTAATTGTTCTATAGAGCATATTCTCCTCGCTCTATAGTACGCAGTCTTGACCAATCCATGTTTAAAGCTATTTGGACAAAAACTACTGAAATGTAGGTATTGTCCTTTCTAAGCAGGCTTTTGATAAATTGACTTGTGAAGACTACCATCTTCAAGGCGTTGCATGGAAATGTCGAGGAAGTGGAACTCTCCATCATTTACATGTTCCATAGTAAACTCAATATTGATATGTGCGTTATTGAGTAATCTGAGTAGTGTGAAGCATGACTTTCATTGTTGCATACTACAAGTGTGTCATCGATATATCAACATTAGGATGTTGTTTCGTTGATTGCATGCTTCAACTTTGTTTTCTCAAGGTTTGACATGAATATATCTGCTAAAACAGGACTAAGTGGACTGCCCATAGCTACACCATCTATTTGGCGGTTAATAGTGTTATCAAATTATTCTACAAAACCTCTAGTTCTCGCTTTATTCAAATATATATAATTGTAGGGCCAGAAAAGGAAGAAATTACGGCAAAAAGGTATTCTTTGCTCAATGATTTTGTGTTTTCTAGATTTCTGAATGAATATTTTCGCTAAATTCCATTTCTGTTCTTAGAATCATCATAATGTATTTAGTTGAGGAATTGTTGTTGTGAACCATATGAATTCACTTTATATTCATTTTATGCAAATTAGAAACTGGAATTATCTTATTTATGAATTTATCTCATTTTGTGTCCTTAAAAACCACATAAATTCAACTTCATTGATCATAACAACTAATAAACAAGTTAAGTGCTTTGAATATTGAATTATGAATACATTAAAAACCATTAATACATTTTATCTAGTTGCGTTCTCTCAGCTGGATGTCGTACACAAAACCAACAATATCGCTTCATTCGGCTGACTCAATGTCTACCAAAAGATTAAACATCGAAGATTTGCAAGCAAAAACCAACAAATTGGATGTGTCAGCGAGGCAGCCAGAGAAGACAGGACGCCAGGTGATGAACATAAAGAATAAATATTAATTTTCCCATAATAAAATTTAGAACAACACATTTAAGCGAACAATATTGTTTTCAATTAGATCTCATCATCAGTCTTAACTCTAATATACATAAGTTTACGAATAAAATTCAAATATAAACCAATCATGGTGTTTGTTTATAGGATAATAAGATGGTGAATATAAATTGTGCAATTGGTCATAATAGTTGTAGTAATAATAATAATAGTCTTATCAATAATAAGGATGAAAAAATGAGGCAATCTGTGATAACACGAATAATGAAAAAATAGCATAATTAAACAAACAAATGTTCAGGTGGAAGTAGTCGATAAAGGCTAGTAAAAACAAATGAACCGATTAAGTAATGCTAGATTGTAAGGGAAGTAAATGAAATGCGTCTTAATGAAAATGTGTTAAGATTAAGAGATGATAAGAGAGTGGGGATGAAAATATAAGTAAGGGGTGGTGTAGAAGTCATTAGTTGATTAGGTCTTAATAGGCCAACAGGGGAGAGATAATGTCTGTACGAACTTTTTTTTGAATGCATAGTTTAGGCTTAATAGTTCGAAAGTCTATCGCCTCAGCTGTGTGTGTGTTCAGTAGACGAATATGAAGTCTATTGGAAAGATTCGGTGGGATACGATGAATTACTTTGAAAGCTCTCATTTTCTTCACTACATGACCACTATCAATTAAATGTGACAAAATTGAGCTACGGATTGTTTTTGTCTGTCCTTTGCCAAACCACCAAGATGGGAGACGTTCAACAGTGACACGCTGGCTAAGCTGTTTAGTAGTACGGCCAACATAACTGTCACCGCAGGTGCAGTTGAATTGATAAATGCACATAGATGTGGCAAAACTATCAAGCTTATCCTTCGTTTGCGTCCTAATCATTCGTCGACTAGAGAATGGTAAACATAGGTGTGCTGCGTAAAACGTTCTTCGTACACTCCTGGAAAGTCTCTGGAAGAAAATCTCACTTGATAGTCACCATTAAATTGTAACTTAATAAACAGAGGCTTTTTACCTGCAGTCAGAGTCTCAGGTTTTCTCTCTTTCTGGTGTTTTCATATGAACATAAAGAAGACGGGTGATGAAGATAAACAACCAACATTGATAACAACCAGCACCAATCACCATCAAATGGAGAGATTTGAGAAAGGTTAGTTCTAGTTTCACTTATCTAGGAAACATCATTTCAACCAAAGGCAGTCGGCACAGGATGAGGGTGTTAAAGCAGGCCAGAATCGGAAAGGCAGGATACGCACGTCTTTATCAACCTGAAACCAGTCTGGAAATATATATATATATATATATATATATATATATATATATATATATATATATATATATATATATATATATATATATATATAATCAACAGTCATAAGACGTTTATTCATCGCTTGTATTTAAGTTTTAAATACACATTTTATCTTATTCACAACATTTTTCTTTAAAACATACTTGTCAACAAAACAATAAAAAACTATAATCGCCTTTTCATAAATTCATGCACACCAAGTGTATATACATATTATTATGCATTTCCTCACAAAAATCAATAAGTCAATGAGTGAGTGAGACATTACTTAAATGTGTATATGCCACGCCCACGACTTTAACTAATGCTTATTATTACTATTTTGACTTTTATTTAATCAACCAATAAAATATTCGTTATCTAGGTCATCTTGTCTAACCAATCATATGAACTGATTCTATTCTATCAATTAATAATTCATTAATTGTAACACTAGACACAATTAATTAAAAGGTAATTTCTCTTCTAGTATCATTAACCTCACAAGAATGATTAAAAAACGGAAAATGGAAAAGCATTCACTAGAATCTAGTACACTGGTGGGAATTGTTGAAGCAAGAAAGCCAACTACTCGACATACACTGATTGTAACAATTATATTGTGCAGTCTGACTGTTATATTAATGACGGTTGGAATAAGTTTAAAGTTGGCTTATGGACCATCATTATATTATCATGATGAAAATTTGTAAGTTGAACGTTTCTTTTATTTCTTTCTTTGTTATTTATATAAGTATTTAAATGACTGATGAATGAACAAAGATTATTTGATTGTACATTAGTAACTAGTTTGATGTGCCTAGTCCTGTCATCTTTGGTGCAGACTAAATTCTATCAGTCAAGCTTCAATGTGGCCACCATGCTACTAGGTTGCTCACCATCATGGTGCACACTGATTTGATGGTATTAGATGGTTGGAGTCGATCGGAAAGAAGCCTTGTCCGAACTAGGTATCGTGCTAGTTGGCACTCATCAGCAATGCGTATCTGAAACCTTGAAGGAACTCATATCCCTTCTGAGATTCGAACCCATGTCATCCAGTTACTGCAGTCCTACAGGAGGTCAATCGCGAGCCCGAATAGATAGCTCAGTGGTAACGTCTCTGACTCACCGCAGCACTGGGTGACGTGGGTTCGAATCACAGAAGGGAGATGAGTTCCTTCAAGGTTACAGATACGCCTTGCTGACGAGTGCCAGATAACACGAAACCTAGGTTCACGGCTTCCTTCCGATTGACTCCAACCATCTAACGTCATCAATATAAAGATTATTCTTTTCGATAATTTCTTCATCAGGTTGTACAGGTATACGTCAATAATAATTAAAGAATTGTTGTAATTAACAACGCTAAGCGTTTATCGAATTACATTAAATCAATTATATCAACAGATTACAACTCATTCTTAAGTGACACTATCCATCTATGGCAACAGTGAAAACAGATACCACAGTCTAATGAACTTCAACTAACCAATCACATTCTTTTAGGTGACATGTGGCAATTATAAAAAGTATATCTACAGGATATACACATAATAAAAATGAATTATGCAGTGTATACGCCTCTAATGTGCTGCGAGAACAGGTCCCAATTTTAAATAGAATAAGTTATAGACATCATATTATTATTGCCTTGGGTTCCAAGTGGAACAAACGGCTTCAACAACACATATACACTTTGTTCTATTCTCTGTTGTCATCTTCATCTGGGTTCATGATTGCCCGTAGTCCTGCATTTTCTCTTCCTCCTCCTCCTCCTCTTCACACCATCTCCACCATGTCACCGTCACACTGACGACCCACTAGTCGCTTCTGAAATGGATTCCACCAGAGTAATGGCCTGCACTGTGCACGATGTCATTCGACAGCATCTTCAACATATACCCCATCCATCTCCATTTCCTCCTGCATATTTGTTCACTAATCGGCTCTTGCTTGTTGGTTTGTTGGCAGAGTTTCTGGCTGCTAATTCTTTCTGGTCAACCAACCAGCCGGCCATTTATCTTCAGTGTGGGGCCAGCCAGCACATTGAGCAGCTGTTGATAAAAGTCGGTAACTAGTCAGAAATTCTGTTGGTGACGCACGTGAAGTGCAAGCTTCTGACCCATATAGAAGAACTGACTAGCTGACTTTATACTTATGTTGAACAGAATCAAAATCTTGTTGCTTATGTGGCTGAGGTGGATTAGAGAAGATCTCTAAACTGGTTTCAGTTTGCCTTTCCGATTCTGACTGGCTGGATTTGACATCTTCATTCGTGCTATCCGACTGCTTGTGGTTGAAACTATGCTTCCTAGCTAGATAAATGCAGAAATCAACCTCTGTTCAGCACTTCTATACCATATCTTCTCATTTCTTTGTCTACCTGGCTAGCCTTCCTAGCTTCCTACACTGTGCGTATCTCCACATCCACATTCTTATTCTCTGTTTGATAGAGAGAAGACATATGGGCTGGTTGGTTTCCTGAAAGCCTTCACCAGTCTGCTGTGTCATTTCGGTTCTTCAATACTTTTGGTATTTTTAATACTTTAATTGTGCTTTGGTTATTATTATTGTATCCTTTAGTTCCTAGAGGAACATAGGCTTCAGCTGCGCACCTCCATTGCCTTCGGTTTTCTGACAACTTTTCACCTCGCTCCAGGTCTGTCCACATGCTTTCATCTCCTCCTCGCATGACCTCCTCCAAGTCACCCTTGGACGACCAACTCGCCGCCTCCCTTTCGGTCCACTCGAGGGCTTGTCTAGTGATGTCACTTGATGGTTTCCTCAGCGTATGCCAATCCATCTCCATTTCTTTATGCCTATTTGTTTCACAATCGGTTCCTGATTGGTTCGCTCCCAGAGATCCCTGTTGCTGATCTTTTCTGGCCATCTTATCTTGAGTATTGAGCGGAGACAGTTGTTAATGAAGGTTTGAAGTTTGTTTGAGATGCTCTTTATGACTCGCCAAGTCTCTGATCCGTATAGTAAGTAGCACTGACTCACTTCAAATTGAAGCTGAAAATCCGGATCTTATTTTGATGCTGATTGCTGTTGACCTCCACACAGATTTGAGAGTAATGAAAGCTTGTCTTGCTTTTCCGATTCTGGCTTTGATATCCTCGTCAGTTCCGTTCTCCTGTAGTTGAGACGATGCTTCCCAGGTAGGTGAAGGAGGTTGTTTCTTTCAGGTTCTTCCCACTTATGCTGATTGTTGTCTGTTGTTGTTGTTGTTGTTGCTGTTGATGTTGGCTAGGAATCTTCATTATCTCTGTTTTATCTATGTTCACCTGAAGTCCTATCTTTGATGCTTCTTCTGCCAACTTGTTACTTTTCACTTGCATATCCTCCAGTTTATGGGAAATCAGACATATATCATCGGCGAAATCTAGATCCTCCAAGTCTTTTGTGTCAGTCCATTTTATGCCTGTTCCCTCGTTGGTTGCCGTTGTCTGTCGCATTATCCAATCAATTGCAATCAGGAAGATCATTGGTGATAGTAGACAGCCTTGCCTCACTCCTGTGCTCACTTCGAAGGCTTCCGTAAGTTTCCCGTTGTGGATTACTTGGCATGCAGCATGCATTGGTTATGGACACAAACTATTCTAATCCACTTTTTTGATATGCTCAAAATCCTCCAATAGTATTTGTATGAGTACCAGCTTTAGGATTTACTAATCTTGATGAATATTTCTTGGTGGTTATGTGCAGTCACAATACTTAACATTTCAGATGGACGCTTTCCACATAATCTTCGTTACAAGTTTCACTCCTTACCCTAATCTAGGCCTAAACAAATCCTGCCGTAACTTGAGCTGTAAATCACTGTGAAAATTATAACATACACTTTTGAAAGCATCCATTTTGTAGTGTTGGGTGATCTGATTGGTTGGTTCAAGATCATTTGACTGTGGCGTCTATTCTTTACTCTTGTCCCATTCAGTATAACACTGAATTGTGAATATTGGATAAATGAAGAAAAATAGTACAGAATTTATGAATTTATGAGTACCATAGCAGGCCGAAGTGGGTATAAATGGCTGGATCTCTTTCTTTTCTACTCACAGTTCCATGTAGTTTTAAGCGGATTACAATGGCCTCTGTTGTTTCGGGTAATCACTTCCTTATTTTACTTTTGATAATTTATTTGGTAGCCGATGGATGATAGATAGGCACCCTTCAATACTGGTTTTATGGCTTGTTTGAACAAAATGGTTTAATGGTTGAATTTTCTATGGTTGGTTTTTAATGATTAGATTCATAATTTTACGAGTTGATCACGGATTGATGTCAGTTAGAGAAACATTGAAAACCATCACCAGGGAGTACTGGACAACTGTTTCACCCTTCTAGTTTGGGAATCATCGGCAGTACGCACCCACCACCTGGGTTCGAACCCAGGACCTTCCGCCAATGACTTGCTGCAAGATGCAGTTTCCTGGAGTGTTAGTGAGAAGCCGGGAACAGTGATGTCCATCCGAATGTCAAGTGTGAAGATAGATGTCCCACCGACGACATTGGTTGGGGTCGCGCTAAATCACGAATTGATAGAAGTTAGAATTCATGGGTTGGCCAGTGGGGAGGCAGGTCCCAGTGGCTGAATGGCCTTATAACGGGAAAATCGTGGGTTCGAACCCTGGCAATGGGTGCGTACTGCCGATGATTCCCAAACTAGAAGGATGAAACAGCTGTCCAGTACTCCAATGCTGGTTTTCAATGGTTCTGTAACTGATATCGATCTATAATCAACTCGTAATATTGAATTGTTATTGGTTTTTAATGCACGACCACTTAGCCATATTGTTAGGCGCCTGATCGGAAAAAATGGTGAAAAAAGGTGGATCAATCATATGAGTTGTGGAGCCAGGTTTCTTGTAGAGTGACAATACCAGTATTGTGGTAAAATCCGGACGACAACGGGACTGAAAATCCAGAATTTTGTTAGGCAGGGATCGATAGGTGATACAAATGATAACCGAACAGTGTTGTTATGTATGGGTGTAGATTTTAAGGCACGCTGCCAACCTCCATGGTACTTTTTCTTGAGTTTATGGCATATATGAAAGTTTTTGGGTTTAAAACGTTTTATGAAATCCCGGGAGTGATAATACAATTAGAATGCATAATGTGATATGTAAACACCAATAAAATATGAGTAAATAGATGCATAATGTACATTGAAATATGATAGCCCAAAATGTTCAAACAGGCCGCCTCATTCAAACGAAACTAACTTTGTCAAATATGCAGATGATCTGACTGTATCACTGCCTATCACTTCCAAGTCTGACTGCTCCAAACTTAATAGCTTTCTTTTGGACATCAACAAGTGGTCTAAGTCAAATGGTCTTATGTTAAATCCTTCCAAATGTCAGGTAGTTGACTTTAATTTCAAGAATCGACGTGACTTATATGAACTAGTTAGTTCGCATGATGCCTATAGCATAGATGGCACAGAAACTGAAACCAAGTCAAGCATTAAATACCTTGGATTAGTTCTTTCCTCTGACCTTTCATGGTCATCCCACATCTTATCTATCTCTAAGAAAATGTTTCGTCTTCTACATAAAAAAGTTAAGACAATCAGGTATCAACCAACCTTTAGTTTTGCAATTTTTAAACTCCTGTATTTTACCTAGTGTACTCTATTGCTCTCCATTAATCTTTCCTGGGCTTTTCAAAAAAGATTATATCATATTACGAAGAGTATTAAATGCTGTGAGTAGGGCTTGTGGTCTGCCACTGCATGAGCTCGCCAATACTATAGTCGAGAGACACATAAATTCCTGTACAAAATGGGCAAAGGCCGTACTGTCCGATCCCATGCACTCACTCTATTCACAACTATCAGTTTGTATCGCATCAGGTAGGACGAGAAGTCAATATAAAAAGTTATGTGCTCGTACCACTAAGTATAGAAATTCTACAATACCCTATTTAGCCCGTACTTTATGTGACGAAGACTCTGTTAGACGTGAAACATAAGTTGCTATGCAATTAGCACATTGAATCGACCCTTTCATTGTTCATCTTTCTGCATTTTTATGGTGTCACACTTTCTATCGTTTAATCATAACTCTGCTATTTTATTTTAGTTGGTATTACTATTATTACTACAATTTTATACTTTATGCATATTTTTCTCCGTATTGCACACAGTATTTTGCTATGTAGCTGCTATAACATTCGTTTTATTGTTATTATGCAATGTGTATTTTTAATTTTTTTGTTGTTGTCGTTTTTGAGTAAATTAGATGCAATATTGTACTGAATGCTGAAAATTTCTTGCTGTATCATTAGTACTGTTTTTGGAATAAAGCAAAAATTATTATTATTATTATATTATTATTATTATTAAAATCATGATAATTACTAAACATTTAGGGGAAAAATGGGTTGATTACGGTCATGTGACTTAATTTCTCCCATTTAGACCAAAGTTTAACCCATTACAGGGACCGACACCAATTATATAGAAGTTTTTTGGAGAAGGTAAAAAACCCCGAATTTGATCCATAAATGGATGACAAAGCGATGTCAGGATGTGGTGTAACTTTTCTATTGGTGCTACTATGCTAAACTGTGAGATGTTTCTATCATATGTGAGAGAAAGATATCCTTGTAACACTTTTAAACAGATTTTATGCATTTTCTCCATAATTATTTTATGTACTCCATACAAAAAAACTGCCTCTTTCATGTGATTGGTGCGTGAGATCCAGGTCATTCGCTGATTGGTGCTGTCAGTGTTATTTCACACATTAATGCTGTTTGGCTTATGTTTTCATCACTAAGGAAGAACATTTCTTTTTACGTCTACTGCGTTTATACTGATGTGATCACGGTGAAGTTAGGGAATAAAGTTTGATTACAGATTGATATCAGGTAGAGAGGAGCATTGGAAACCAGTTGAAGGTACTGGAGCTCGTAGACCATTCAGCCACAGTGACCAGTTCATGAATTCTTACTTCTACTAGTGTCACAGGTGAGTGACATTGTCAACTTAACCGACTTAGTGAAGCCCGCCAGTGTTATGACTTCTCACTAGAACCGTGAATTTGGACGAGATCACCTCATAACTGGAAGGTTGTAGGTTCTAACTCTTGGTGGTTGCATACTGATGAGGAGTAAAAAGTAGGACGAAATAGTCGTCCAGTACTCCAGTACTGGTTTTCCAATGGCCCCCTAATTGATGTCAGCTCCTGGTCTATCCTGTAACCAATAAAATCTCTGAAAACCAGCGTTTGATAATTAACTTGATGCTCACAAGCAACTGTACCTATACAGGAGGTCACATGGGCATCTAGTGGAAGTTGTAACAACGGTGGGCTTTACGAAGTCGGGCAAGTAGACAGTTACTTGCCTGTGACACTGCCTAGCGGTTGCCCTAAATATATATATCACGAATTGGCAGCAATTGGAACACATGGAGTGGTCGGGTTCCACTGGTTGAATGGTGGTGCGTCCTCGCATTGTAACGGGAAGGTTATCTGATTAAGTTAAAGAATAGTGATAGATGCAGACGACTGATTCAACGATATTGAATATCAACGAATATCAACAGCCATATTCCTGAGTATCTATTTAGTTGAACACTTGAACTATCTTGACACTGCTAGCCTTTCAAATTGAACTCCGGTGGGTGCGTACTGTTGAAGAGTTCCAAACTGGGACGAAACAACTGTCCACTACTCCCTACAGGTTTTCCAGTGGTTCTCTAACTGTGATGTCAACTCATGATAAAATCCTCCATCCAATTTCAAATCTTAGTTCCGTGAGACTAATCTAATCTTTTGTTCTTATTGGTGTTGTTTTTAATAGTTGGCTTGCAGTAACTGGACTAATTCTACTGGCGATATCCTTTCCAATTGGTATCACCTCAGCCTGCCTTCTCAGTACACTATTTCGTATTAAAGAGTATATTGAGTATACGGAATTACGTAAACGTATGCTGGAAAGTCAGGTAGGTAATATGCGCATATACTTTTCTGTGATTTCATTCTCGAAAGCTGATGTACAATCGCATTTATACAGATTATTTTACATGGATACAACTATTATTTATTTATTTAACTCCACATAGTAACGAAGGTGATAATAATTTTCAACTTGATATGAAAGTTTGGAGGTAGGAATATAGATTACAAGGGGCAGCTTAGAGACAAGATTGCATAGGATTAGAAAACAGTTACAAGGTATGCAAAATTATTATTTGATAACTGGAGAGATAATTTTAAATTGGAATAAAAGTTGATAATTATTTTCAACTTGATAAGAATTACAAGAGACTTAGAGACGCAGGGATAGAACGAATTACTGGTGTGAACAAACAAAATGAGCATGGAAACAAATTGAAATCAAAATTTTCAACTTGATATGTAAGTTAGGTGTGAGATAAAATTACACACAGAGATAAGAAAACAAAACACTGAAGGATAAAGGAACATACCGAACTAGGTTCATGGTAGTTGTAGAGGCTGTGTTATCTGTGTGTGTAATGTTCTCTCTTTACCTTCATTCAATTCATCCTATTTCTTTTTTCAGTTATAAAATCAGTTATTTTAAGTTTGTTTCTATGCTCCTCCTGACTGCACTTGTGATCCGTTTAGAATAACCATTTTACAATTATATTCTAATCCTGTGCAATTTTTTGTTTCTATGCCTCCTGTAATCTATATTCACACACACACACACACACACCTCATAACTTACATTTCCAGTTGAAAATTTGATTTCGATTTGTTTCCATGCTCATTTTGTTTGTTCACACCTGTAATTCGTTCTATTCCCCTGCGTAATTTTTGTCTCTAAGCCTCTTGTAATTCATTTCAAGTTGAAAATAATTATCAACTTTTATTCCAATTTAAAATTATTTCTCCGGTTATCAAATAATAATTTTGCATACCTTGTAACTGTTTTCTAATCCTATGCAATCTTGTCTCTAAGCTGCCCCTTGTAATCTATATTCCTACCTCCAAACTTTCATATCAAGTTGAAAATTATTATCACCTTCGTTACTATGTGGAATTAAATAAATAAATAATAATTGTATCCATGTAAACTAATCTATTTTGTATTTTACCATCTTGACAAGACAGTATAAGGAAACGTAGTTTATCGGAATGAAATGTGTAATACAATGTGTATTTGCGCAACACATTTCGAACAGGGGAACGGATAAAATTCAAACAAAGTAGCATCATCATTACTGAGAAGATTGACCTATTGTGCAATTGAGGGTTAGAAATGTAGAAATAACAATAGGTAGATAGGATGTTTCGATAAAAAAAAATCGAGTGGAATCATTCGAAAACTACTTCAATACGGTCACAAAGAAACTAAATCAAAGCCTTAAGTCCATTACCAAAGAAACCGTTTTTACTACTTGTCCAGAAAGATAGCCGTTCAATTATTCTGATGTTCCACTATCTCCAATTCAAATGCAAATCTTAGCACTTGGAGCCAAGTTTTATGATGCGACGTCAAAAGTGAATGAACTGAACACGAAAGTCCAAGTCCAAAATTTAATCGACCAGACGAAAAATTTGGTCCCATCCTCATATGACAATGCAGAGATTTTTCAATTCAACCGTTTTTAATTGCTCTCTCGATTACGTCAACAAAAAAAGCCCAGCTTTCGTAAAGTACTTTTCAAAGAACATTGAAAGTAGCTAAAATAACTGAAGGATACTGAAAAAATTGGTCAAGACACGGCCAGATAAAGGTTCCGGAATCGTCCTGATGAACAAATCAGACTACCTAAGCAAACTCTCGGTGATACCATCTGATGATAAGAAATTTCAAAAACATTCTCCACAGAAAGATCCCACCGAACAGACGGAGCTCCAGTTAACAAAGATGGTGAAGAAAGTGAAAGAAGAATTCATTATCACTTTAGAACTATACGAACAACTGCGTCCTTCTGGTTCTACAACCCCGTGCATGTACGGCTTACCTAAAGTACAGAAACAAGACGTCCCACTCCGCTCACCCCATGTTATACCATGTATGATAGATTCCCCATATCATTCAATCGGGAAATGGCTGGTGGAGATTCTCGGGCCGGTGAAAGAAAAGCTATCAAGACACAACCTCCGTGACATATTCGATTTTGTCGGTTCAATTAGGAACGTCAACCTGGCAGATAAGAAAATGGTCTCCTTGAATATCGTCCCTCTCTTCACCAACTCTCCACTGATAGAAACCGTATGTTCCCTTTGTGACTTCATTCAGTCCAAAAGCATCGACGTTGGTATACCGATCCACTACCTAAAAGAGCTGTTACTACGATGCACCTTCAATGCTTACCTTAGTTTCAACAACGGAATATACAGGTAAGTAGATGGAGTAGCAGCAATGGGTTCTCTTCTAGGGCCCCTTTTGGTCAACTGCTTGATGACTAGCCTAGAAAACAATTACTTATCATCAAATATTGACGAACTTCATCACTATTAGAGATACATTGATAATACTTTCGTAATTTGTGATGAGAACCTGGACCTTGAAAACTTACTTGAGATGTTCAACAGTGCCCACCAAAACATCGTCTTTACTCTTGAAGCTGAATCCGACAGAATGTTCCACTTCCTCGACGTCCATCTGACAACAGACGCCAACAACTTTCTGGAAAGGTCCATATACAATTATTCGTCACATTAGTTATGATCCCACTAGGTTTTTTCTATTTCTACATTTCTATCATTTGCACAATCTATGTCAATCTTCTCAGTAAGATGATGCTACTTTGTTTGAGTTTTATCAGTCCCCTTTTCCTGTTTTAATTATGGAATTTTAATTTCTAGTTGTAATTTTTTTAATTTCACCCTTGATCGGAAATTATTGTGTAACTTTCACACCCATTCATCATAAATAAAGAAATGTACAGCTTAGTTGTCGGTGATTTCGTCGAAAAGAAAATTTATCTTCGCTGCAACCGTCTTTTTAATAATTCCTGCGATCCAATGTGCATATTCCGACATTTTGAACAATCTGATCACACACATGAGTACTTATTATACACAGTTATATAGAAGGCAAGACAGCATGGATCATTACAATACAGGTGAGATGGGCCTTACCTATCTTGACCAGTTTGAGTACCTACTGCTTAGGAGTCATGAAGTTGGACGAAATATCTTTCAAGTACTCTGTGTGGTTCCCTGAATCCAGCTTGTTTCTGGTGGGGGCGGAGTTCTGAATCCAGTGCATCTTTTATTCTCTCCAGGATGACGTGACTTAGTATTTTGCTTGATGTAGACAGGAGCATTATTCCACGCCCATTAGTTATTGCAGATACCTAAGTCTCCCTTCTTTAGCAACTTGAAAACGTAGCCTTTCTTCCAGTCAGTAGGCACTTTTTCTTGCTTCCAAAGCTTTTGTAATAATGGTGTGAGCATATTTGCCTCAGTTTCTGGGTGCGTTTGCAGTGCTTCGAGATGGAATTCCGTCTAGTACAGCTGCCTTCCCAGCCGGACTTCATTAGCTTGATTGCATTAAGGATATCTGCTTTCTTTGGGGGGGGGTATTGATGTCCACTGGCCGGCAGTTCTGTGCGTGCTGTCAGTGGTGGTGGTGGTGTTGATATTTCTGGGCGAGTTAGAGGTGATGGTTAATCCAAGAGTCCTTTAAAGTTGTCACCTCACTGTTTTATTTGTTTCTCCCCCTTGGTAATCAGGTTACCTTGAGCATCTTTCATTAATTTCATCATCTGGGTTGATCTCTTCCTGAGGTCTCTTTCACCTGTCTGCGATTTGTTCTGCCTCGGTTGCCAACCAGTGTTTTGTAGAATTGTCTTTCGCTTTTCCTAGCATTCTTCTTCACTTCTTTATTCAGTGCAGTGTACATTGAGCTTAGCTACTCCTTCTATTGTCCATCTTTGCTTCGATTGGTCATCTTCCCTTTCACCATCCTCCTCTCCGCTCCTCGATTACCTTCCAGGTATGTGTCCGTTGACAGCCATTCCCTGTCATATCTCATCTTTCTTCCTAGAGCAATTTTGAAAGCCGTTTTTTAGCTCTTATTCTATTTTTGAGTCTTCCCCGGAAACCTTCTATTGAATTCGTATGAGTGCCAGTCCCGGGATCGACGAAGTCATCAGAATAGTTAACTCGATGGTGTATATATCCTAAATCTGATAATCGATTATATGCTGCCCATTCATCCGTGTGAATGGTAGTGCCTGGCAAGACGAGCCTCTGAATAATAGGGAGAAGTGTATCAGCACTCCTATCTGGAATAAGTTCGATAAATCCTTTCCCAGAACCCAAACGTTATTCGCTCTAGCACATCCGCGACTGTACTTCTTCTTATAAGGACCGTTTCATCGATATGAATGACTACACCGACTCCTCCCAACACTTGAGTAATACTATTCGTTATTAGATGGTTGGAGGCAATCGGCAGGAAGCCTTGGACCCAGGTTCGTGCTAGTTGGCACTCGTCAGCAAGGCGTATCTGCAGCCTTGAAGAAACTCATGTCCCTTCTGAGATTCGAACCCGCGTCACCTAGTGCTGCAGTCAGAGACGCTTTTCGGGCTCGCAATTGACCTCCTGTAGAAATGTAGTGGATATTTTGATTTGACACTGGTAACTAGCGTGATGCGTCTAGTCCTCTGATTGGTGTAGACTGAATTCTATCAGTCAGGTTGTAATGTGACAAATCAAAATACAATTCGTTTCCCACGACGCTAAATCTTCACTAAACTGGAACCATTACACCGTAGACGTTAACGTATTTTCTGTCTGAACCGCAGTTGACCTCACACCGGACTTCAAAACCCAGTAATGGCAAAGGAACAGTATATTCGTCAAGGAAAGTTTCGATTTTTCAAAGAAATTTCCTAGAAGACAATTAACTGAGAGTTTCACTTACAAGTGCGAACACTTATTCGTTTCCTAAACTCTGTACACCTAAATATATATCCATCATTGACCTGGGAATACGGCTGTAGGTTCACTGAAGCA